GCAGGCTGAGGCTGAGGCAGGCTGAGGCTGAGGCCGAGGCTGAAGGCAGATTGAGGCTGAGGCTGAAGCAGGCTGAGGCTGAGGCAGGCTGAGGCTGAGGCTGAGGCAGGCTGAGGCTGAGGCTGAGGCAGGCTGATGCGGAGGCAGGCTGAGGCTGAGGCTGAGGCTGAGGCTGATGCAGGCTGAGGCTGAGGCAGGCTGAGGCTGAGGCCGAGGCTGAAGGCAGGCTGTGGCTGAGGCTGAGGCTGAAGCAGGCTGAGGCTGAGGCTGAGGCAGGCTGAGGCTGAGGCTGAGGTAGGCTGATACTGAGGCAGGCTGAGGCTGAGGCTGTGACTGTGACTGCCGTTGCCACTGCGACTGTCATCACGAATGCGACTGCGACTGCGAGAACAGGAGAATTCTACAACTGGATTCTCATCTGGATTTTAAGGGGAATGTTTCCATATATGCTTCTACACATCGCTGTTAGGTTGCTTTGCCGGGATATTTTTTTTGTTAAAAAAACCATTGGTTTTTTGATGTTTTTTACCTAACAGCGAAGACTGATAGGTTTCTAGTGGTCTCAAAAGAGAGCAGCAGATGACTCCACAGGGGGGTCTGGGCGGGTGCCGGACAGGGTGCCGCAGAAGTCGTTTTAAGCAAACAGTGACACACTTCGTGCTCTTCGACCTCCCAGAACTCCATTCCCGGGCCACATTCTGAATGCCCGGAGCCAACTGTAGGCCACTTCGTGCTCTTCGACTTCCCAGAACTCCATTCCCGGGCCACATTTTGAATGCCCGGAGCCAACTGTAGGCCACTTCGTGGTCTTCGAGTCCCCAGAACTCCATTCCCGGGCTAGATTTTGGATGCCCGGAGCCAACTGTAGGCCACTTCATGGTCTTCGAGTTCCCAGAACTCCATTCCTGGGCCACATTTTGAATGCCCGGAGCCAACTCTAGGCCACTTCGTGCTCTTCGAGTTCCCAGAACTCCATTCCCGGGCCACATTTTGAATGCCCGTAGCCAACTGTAGGCAACTTCGTGCTCTTCGACTTCCCAGAACTCCATTTCCTGGGCCACATTTTGAATGCTGAGGCAGGCTGATGCTGCGGTCGAGGCAGGCTGGGGCTGAGGCAGGCTGAGGCTGAGGCCGAGGCTGAAGGCAGACTGAGGCTGAGGCTGAAGCAGGCTGAGGCTGAGGCTGAGGCAGGCTGAGGCTGAGGCTGAGGCAGGCTGATGCTGAGGCAGGCTGAGGCTGAGGCTGAGGCTGATGCAGGCTGAGGCTGAGGCAGGCTGAGGCTGAGGCCGAGGCTGAAGGCAGACTGAGGCTGAGGCTGAAGCAGGCTGAGGCTGAGGCTGAGGCAGGCTGAGGCTGAGGCAGGCTGAGGCTGAGGCTGAGGCAGGCTGAGGCTGAGGCTGTGACTGCGACTGCCGTTGCCGCTGCGACTGTCATCGCGAATGCGACTACGACTGCGAGAACAGCAGAATTCTACAACTGGATTTTCATCTGAATCTTAAGGGGAATGCTTTCAGATATGCTTCTACACATCGCTGTTAGGTTGCTTTGCCGGGATAATATGTTAAAATCGCTACGAACACTAAGGTTTTGGAAGGATTTCGTCTTGCGCGCGCGAATGTCCACTTTACCTTATTTTTTGCAGGGATTCTTGACGTTTGGTTATGTTAGAACAAGAAATGTCCACTTTGCTTTATTACCTAACAGCGAAGACTGATAGGTTTCTAGTGGGCTAAAAAGAGCAGCAGCAGATGACTCCACAGGGGGGTCTGGGCGGGTGCCGGACAGGGTGCCGCAGAAGTCGTTTTAAGCCAACAGTCACACACTTCGTGGTCTTCGCGTTCCCAGAACTCCATTCCCGGCCACATTCTGAATGCCCGGAGCCAACTGTAGGCCACTTCGTGCTCTTCGACTTCCCAGAACTCCATTCCCGGGCCACATTTTGAATGCCCGGAGCCAACTGTAGGCCACTTCGTGTCTTCGAGTTCCCAGAACTCTATTCCCGGGCCACATTTTGAATGCCCGGAGCCAATTGTAGGCCACTTCGTGCTCTTCGAGTTCCCAGAACTCCATTCCCGGGCCAGATTTTGGATGCCCGGAGCCAACTGCAGGCCACTTCGTGGTCTTCGAGTTCCCAGAACTCCATTCCCGGGCCAGATTTTGGATGCCCGGAGCCAACTGTAGCTGAGGCTGAGGCAGGCTGAGTTCCCAGAACTGAGGCTGAGGCTGAGGCTGAGGCAGGCAGGCTGAGGCTGAGGCTGAAGGCTGAGAGACTGAGGCTGAGGCTGAAGCAGGCTGAGGCTGAGGCTGAGGCTGAGGCTGAGGCTGAGGCTGAGGCAGGCTGAGGCTGAGGCTGAGGCAGGCTGAGGCTGAGGCTGTGTCTGTGACTGCCGTCGCCACTGCGACTGTCATCGCGAATGCGATTACGACTGCGAGAACAGCACAATTCTACAACTGGATTATCATCTGAATCTTAAGGGGAATGCTTCCAGATATGCTCCTACACATCGCTGTTAGGTTGCTTTGCCGGGATAATTTTTTGCAAGGGAAAACCGCCCGTAACAAAACAACCGGATCCGGACCAACCCGTTTTGCCGGAGACTTCCTCGCGAAAGTGATGAAAACATGGCTGCGGCCTAGGCGCGGCGAGGGGGCCGCGCACCAGGGGTCCCAACAATAATTATTCTTTAGAAGTAATAATGTTCAACAACAACAGCAGCAGCAACAACAACGCGCCGCCAGGCCCCCTCGCTGCGCGGCCTGGGCGCCGGCGGCGTGGAGGCCCTCGCGGCGCGGCGCCTCGCGCGCCGGGGCCTGCCGCCGCCCACGCGCGGGGAGCTGCGGGAGGCCGCCGAGGCCGCCGAGCGGGCCGCGCCGGCTTTCAGGCGCGGCGCGGCGCGGCGCGGCTCGGGCGCGGCGGCGCGACGGCTCGGCACGGCTCGGCGGCTCGGCTCGGGCGTGACGGCGCGTCGGCGCGGCGGCGGGAGGTCTCGGCTCCGCGCGGCTCGGGCGGCCCCACCCCCTCCCCCAGCAGGCGGGCGTTCGGGCGCGTCGGCTCGGCTGGGGGCTGCCGCAGGTCGGTCCTGTCAAGTCAAGGGTGCCCTTGTGACCCGTGTTTCGCGGCCCACACTCCTGTGGCAATGTGGCCCTCGGAAGGGTCTTGTGTCCTCTCGCGTGTCCTCTCCAATCAGCCCCGACTAATAAGAGTGAGGGAGCGGGCGTGGGATGGGTCGCTGGTGGGTCGCGGGGTGGGTCGCGACGTTGGTCGCCGGTGCGTCGCAGGTGGGTCGCGGGAGGGCGTCGGCGTAGAGGCTCGGCTCGGCTCGGCTCGGGAGACACGGTCAGGGACTTTGGCTTAGCGTGTCGTTCCTGCCAGTTCTGGCCCACCACGCTTCGGCGCAACATGCTAATTATCCACGTTCCGGTACACCACGCCCCGAGCTTTTCCCATCCTCCCGCCCCGCGGAGCGGAGCGGCAAGCTAGCATGCTGCAAGGGATGGCGTGTCGCCTGGGCCGCCTCAGCGAAATGCTAAGCAAAGGTTTCTGACCGTATGGCTGCTTCAATGCCAGCGGCTTGTCCGAGATGTGGGCCCTGGCCGTTTGCTGGCCTCGAGGGCACCAGAAATCGACCCGGGGCGAACAATTGTCTCCATAGGGGGGACCTTTGGAAGGCCTCTTTAGGGCCTTTGCGCCTCGCGGGGTCGTCTTGTGGGCCTCTGTGTGCTCCTGGAGGGCCTCTGAGGGGCATGATGTGGGTCTCGGAGGCAATCCTGCAGGAAAAGGCTGTCAAAGCCAGCTCGATGTTCCCTTCTTCGGGCCTTATATCGACGGCCGTTTTGATGGTCTCTTGCGCTGTCTCGGAGTTCCCCTGGGCCGTCTTGGGGCGATTGTGGGACCCTGTTGGGTTGTCTTGGAGCCTTCTTCTCGACGTTTTGACACATGCCGGCCACCCCGGCGCCGTCGCGCCCAGCCCCGCGCAGAGCCGTCCTTCTAGGGACGGCGCAGGCGCAGTCTAGAGTCTCCTCCTCCCTCTCCGCCCCGCACCCGCCCATCGGGAGGGAAACATAGCATCACTGACACGCTGCCGTGCGGAGCCGGTCAGCATGTGTCCCCCTCGGTTCTGGCCGAGGGCACGGTGCTCACTCAGCCGTAGCACGCTGAATTGTTCCCAGCGGCGGCGTGCCATTGACACTGCACTTGGACCTCCTCCGATGGCCACGGCAATTTTGGCTGGAGTCGCGTCGCGGCGGCCGAGCGATCCCCTCCCCCCGTCGGCGCGGGGCGCGGGATTGTATATATAGGGAGCAGCTGCACCAGAGGCCTTGCCGTCTCCGCGCCCGCCGCGCGCGATGCCGAAGCGGGAGGAGGGCGTGGTCACCACGTGGAGCGCGGGGCCCGAAGTAAAATTGCAGTGGCCGAGCCCCGTGGCACGACAGGACAGATGAACGACGGACGACAGACGAAGACGACACTTGGCGGCGCACTTGCCCTGGCATCCGCGCGTCGTGACAAACGTAAGCACGGCTGCCTCGTTGTTGCCCCGTCTCGGCCCCCAGAACCCACCAGATCGATCCCGCTCGGAAGGCAAAGTGCTTCGAAAACACTTTGATGTCTGGCGACTGCTTGTTGATCGATCCCGCTCGGAAGGCAAAGTGTACCGAAAACACCCTGAGATCCAGGCTACTTGTTTTTTTCGCTGGGCGTTTTCGCCGCGTTTCTGGCCGCAGGACCACCGCAGATCGATCCGGCTCGAAAAATGCAGCATAAAGATGTTGTCTATCGGACGGTGCCAGGACGAGGATCAATCCGTTCCGGAGCGTTCCGGCACGCTTCAGAGCGTTCCGGAACGCTTTGAGAAGGCCGCGGCGCCCGAGACATCCTTCCAGAGCCGCTAGGATATTCTCGATGCATCCTTACTTGATTGTATCCTCTTGCTCGCTTCGTCTCAGGTCTAGAGCTCGGGGCGACGACGACGACGACGACGACGTCGAGATCTGGCCATGTCTCCGCGGTGTCGGATTACACAGCGCTTGTTCCAGCTGAGGGCCTCGCCATCGGCGGGAGGCCGGCGGAAGTGGAGCGGCGAGAGGTTTTGTCGGCGGAGGGCCAGCGGAGGGCGGGGGAAGTAACTAGCCGTAGCCTCTGGAGGTCTGCAGTTGTTGTCGCCCCCCCTTCCTGCCTCTCCTGGCGGGGAGTAAGCTATGGCACCGTCGTGCTTGTGGTAGTTTCGGTGCTAATGAGGTCCTCAAGTTGGGCAAGCCTTGTCTCCGAAGGCTCACCCCATCTGGAGTGGAAGGCTTCGACCAGATTTCGAGAGGGCTGTGGCCGAAGGTCCTCAGTCAGGCTGAGGTTGCATCCAGGTTGCATCCAGGCGCTCGAAGGCCCAATCCCTGATGCATGTTTAAGGTTGATGTGCACACTGACTTTGTCGTATGATCATGTTCATGCTCCTCCTCCTCCTCCTCCGCCTCCTCCTCCTCTTCCTCCTCCTCATCCTCCCCTCCTCCTCCTCCTCCTCCTCCTCCTCCTCCTCCTCCTGCTTCTCCTCCTCCTCGTGCTCCTCCTCGTCTTCCTCCTGCACCTCCCTGGAGCGGCAGCAGGTTCGTCGGCGGAGGGCCGGCGGAGGGCGACGGAAGTGAGAGCGAAGCGCAGCATTTTTTTGTGTGCTCTCCACTCCTCCAGCCTGCTCCCCGCCCCCCCCCACCCTTGCTAGTCCATCTTTCCAGAAGTGCGGAATACCCTGGCACTCGACGCTTACACAAAGAGCACCACGGTGCCGTTGCAAAAGAGACAGGGGAATACGTGACCAGTCAGAAGCTCTCATACCCATATTCGAGCAAAGACCGCCAGTCCAGGCATTCCTAGAGGCCTTCCACGACATGTTTCTAGAACGGAAGACTGTTCTAAGAACCCAGTCCATGTTCTTAGAGCATACGCCCGATGGATTAAACCAAGGCTGCATCAGCCAACAGTGTCTAAGAACAACCCGCTCACACCACCAAAGCTTCTTAGGACATTATTTGGTGGGCCTGGAGGCGTCTCAGAAAGTCCGGAGCTCTTCTCCCAATAACTCTGGAGGTAGGAAAGGGGTGTGGCATAAAGGGGTATGGTGCCGATGTTGAGTCTGACGATGCCATATATTGTAGACAGCATCTCGATTTCCACGATTGGCACAACACACCCTTATGCCATACACCTTTCCGACCTCCAGCATAGCTATGGCCAGCCCAAGAATCGGCGGCCAGCCCGCGGGGAAACTGAGAGTGGGCGGGCCTCCTCAGAAGGCTCGCACGTTCCCCAGAGCCTTCTGAGACGTGCTCTAAACTCGAAGCCTTCCCCGAAGACTCAGAACACCTCTCGAAAGGCCAGAGGCCTTCTGAGAAGCCCCGCCGCCTTCTGAGAAGGCCTGCCCCCTCTCGGACGCCGAATGGTTTTGGGGTCATAACTCGGCTCCCCCGTGGCCGTTCGGGATGACTCTGGCACCCCAGGAACGTTCTCGGCGAGGCGCAGCCGCTGGAAAGCATCCCGAGGCTGGAAACCCGCCGAGGACTTCCAAAAACGCCCAACAAACCTGACACGATGGTGTGTACCTTCTCGCCTCCCAGGAACATTGAGAAGCAGTACGGATTTGTGTCCATCACCAGCGGGAAGCCGGACGCGTTCTTGCACACCGACAACATCTTGGACCGCGGGCTGCGGGAGGAGGTGAAGACAGAGGGTATTCGAAGAACAAAGACCCGCATATACATCATTTCTGGCAGCTCCGCGCGGATTTTTGGGATCGGCGTTGGGACCCCTTGGCGGCTCCTCCGGCAACCCCCCTGACGCGCCCCGCGCCTCAGCGAGGGGGGACCATCGGCGACGCAAGAACTTCGCGCGGATCTCAGAGAAATGTTGTTTATGCCGTTTGCGTTCCTCTAGGTCTGAAGCGCGGTGAGCGCATCACATTTGACCTCGAGGCGCCCGAAACGGGCAAGGGGAAGATGGTCGCCATCAACATCGAGCTCGGCCGGGGCGGCGGCGGCGGCGGGGGAAGGCCGGGCGGGACCCGCAACGTCAGCTGGCTCCCAGCCCGGCCAGGCCCCTCCCAGGCCCGGGCACTGCTGGCGCAGCGAGCCGTCAAGGGCAAGCCACGCCACCCTGCGCAGAATAACCAATGGCCGATGGCACACGGTCGGACCGCGGCAGAAAATTGAGGTCGGTTCGGGGAGGGTGCCCGAAGGTTCTTCGTGTTTCTTGTGCATCATGGGGGAGGGTACCCTCGAGTGCTCTTCAGTTTGGCCGGCGGAGGGTCTCGCGTTCTTGGAGGATGCTCTGTTGCCCCAGGTTTGGCCGTGCGCAGAAAGTCTCGCGTTTTGTTGGATCGGCGCTGGGCGCTGGGACATCCCTGGCGGCGCCTCGGGCGCCGCCCCGGGCGCGCTCCGCGCGCCAGGCAGAGGGTTCCAGCGCCGATCCGAGACATCCGCGCTGACCTTCGAGAAGTCACGTACATGCTGCTTTCCGTCGTTTCTCGATCAGAGAGTGGCATGCGTTACTTCTGCTTGCCAGCTTCGCCTGACTGGCTTTGCTGGACCGTCCTGGGGCTGTTTCGGAAGCATCGCTGCGATGGTGCAGCTTGGCGCGGCCGTGCCGCTGCATGGTTTGTTGGCTCTTTTTTTTCGGCGTGTGGACAACAGAGGGGCAAGAGGTCATGAAAATGATTCTGTGCTCGATTCCTCAGATTTCCTGACATCCTACTGTTCCACGGGGGTTGCAGAAGCCAGGACCGCTAGATACCCCAGAATTCTTGGAACGTTTCCTGACCCAATCGCACCCTGACATCGTTCTCGTCCCAGGAACTGCTTGGGCTTTGTGCCGCTCGTGGGGGCCGTTTGGGCCCTTCTGAAGCCTGTTGGGGGACCTGTTGGAGGTCTCAGAGGGTGGCTTACGGTCCTATTGGGGGCGCTGGTTCTACTGGGCTCTCTCGACGGGGCTTCATTCAGTGATAGCATGGGGGCGTCTCGGCGGGTCTCTGGGGCCGGCTCGGAGCCGTCTTGGCGTGATTCTGGGACGTCTCTGGGGCCATCTGGGGGCGGCCTTACGGGCTTCGCTGGCCCTCCGGACGCCTGCCCGAGGCCATCTTCGGTCGAGACGCCTCGGAAGCAAACGTACCCAAGCATTCCGCAGGTCAGTGCTTCATCGCTTCTCGGCTCGAAGGGCCTCGCTCGACGGCTCCTGGGGCTCCTCTTGGGCGTTTCTTGCGGCCTCGTCGTGCCTCCTGGGCACAGCGGGCGCATCGAATGACAAATTGGCCTGCCAACGGGTGCCCCCACGAGGACGTCTGATCGTCCGATGGGCCCAGGGACCCACAGAAGCTCTTGGACACCTTCGGGCCCTCACAGACCGCCAAGGAATGTGCCCCAAGATGTCTTTGGCGAGGTTTCGGATCGTATGTGTCTGCTGTAAATTTTGAAGTCTCTTCGTGGTCTTCGGACCTACGTAGGCTGGTTCTTCTGTCGTTGAGATATCTCGGAGCGGCCTTTCGGGCAGGGGGTCGCCCCTCTAACAAAAGTCAGAAACCCTACCAGAGAGCTAATAGGCATTCTGACACGCCCCTAAGCGCAGCGGGCATGGCGGAGGATACGGCTTTCTGGCAAGACCAGGAGCCCGGGGCTGGGATTTGTACACATCCACCGCGTTGGGAACCAGCATCCCAGGACGCCTTGAGGCGGTGCGGGGACCCTGGGGCCCAAAGATGTCTTGTCCATGTCCGCTGCCTCCCGAGGGCATGGGGAGTCGACCGTCAGAGCGGTGGACATGCCCCCAGACGTCCGATGCCATAGTTTTTGTTCAGTACGGGGCCACCGGGAGACCCGACCCTTTCCCGTGGGCTGGCGAAGGCCCCTAGAGGCCGAAGACGGCCAAGAGCTTCCCGTCGCGCTTGTGGCACGACGCGAGCACGTCTGGGTCTATCAGCCCCTGGCCTGGGGTGTGCCTGGCCAGGATCTGTGCTGCGGCAGGTTCGTGTCGTGTCGACGCGGCGGCTTCCCCAGCGTGAGCGCTCAGGGTTGAACGCCGCCAGTGGCCCAGACTCGTCCGATGTTGAGCGATCCGCGCTGTCGGCAAGCCGCGATCGTGCAAGCTTGGACGATCCGCGTGGTGTCAGATGCCAACGCGCAAGTCGCCACGACACGAGCCTGCCTCGTGCCGACAGACACGCAGCTTGCGCATCGAGCTGTAGCCGCGCGAGCTTCAAAGCCTTTGGGCCAAACAGGTATTTGTCAACACCACCATGTGGATGAAACGCTTGATCTACGCTAGTTTTGCGGGCAGCAATCAATGCAACAGCAGCACGTTGCAAATTGAGACGTGCCTTATTCGCGCTGGTGCGAAGCCATCAGAAATTGCATACAAATAAACGTTCGGAGCACCACGCGGACTTCTTGGAGTCTCGCTGCCCCCCCCCCCCCCCATGGCGCGCCCACCGCGCCAGGGTCGCCGCCGGAGGCACCGCCAGGGCGCCCCAGCGCAGGTCCAAGAAGTCCGCGCGGTGCTCCGAAAGTTTATGGCAGCGTTCCGATCCGGGAATACAGTGTGGATTGGAGCACGCGTGCCCTTCCGCTGCCATTTTGGCGCACAGCGCCCCATCTCCTCGCAGCAATGTTGTTTTGTTTCTCTAATCCACCCGGCCCATTGCGGCAAGGGGGTTGTAGCGGGCAGGCCCGGCCTGGGTGAATCAAGTGTGCCCAGGAACACAGGCAGGGGTGGGAAGGGTGATGCGACGCGTGCTCACAGCAGCATCGTACGCTCAGGTGATTTCGGTGTTCCTTCAGCTCTGGTCGGCGGCGCGCACAGGGGGGTGGCGCAAGGGGGGAGGCCCTCTAAGGTTGTAAGCAGGCGGCCTCTAAGAAGCCCTCCCAGCCTCCAAGCCTTATCAGAAGCTCCCCCTTCCTCACCCTCCTCTTCTTCCTCCTCCTCCTCCTCCTCCTCCTCCTCCTCCTCCTCCCCCTCCTCCTCCTCCTCCCCCTCCTCCTCCTCCTATTTTTTAGTTGGTCGGGCATTAAGTGCTATGCTTGCTGCGTCCTTCCTCCTGCTCCCCCTCCCCCTCCCTCTCAGAAGTTCTGAGCTGCGCGCCGCCTTCTTAGAAGGCCACCCCTCTCACGCCACCCCCGTCCCAGACCCTCGACCGTCATGAGTTTTGTCATAACGTCGACCCCCAGAGCTCTCGACCCATTCCCTAGGATCGGCGTTTCTTCCCAAATCGTTCTTTGACGGCCCCGAGGCCCGACGAGAGCCCCCAGAGGCCGAAAATTGCGAACAGCCCGCCGTCGCGCTTTTTTCCATGACTCCAGAGGGGGTTCTGGGGCTGCGCGCGCCGCCTGCGTGGCGCGACCTGGAAGCCCCAAGAAGCAGCGCCCCGAGCGCAGCTTCGCGCGGGCCAGGCGCGAGCTCGCAGCCCCAATCAGCAGCGCCCCGAGCGCAGCCTTGCGTGCTCTATATATAGGCCCTGCGCTCCCCCTCCCCCCAGGAGGGGCCGCTCCGGCTCCCGGCGCCGGGCCCGCTCGCTGAGCCGCAGGCCGCGGCACCGCAGCCCGTCGCCCAAGCGCCGGTCGAGGATCGGGGGCGGCCAAGTCGTCAGGGGCAAGGATAGGGGGAGGAGAGGGCATACCCTGAGATCCTGGCGCCCCAATCTTTTCGAGCAGGGCGGTTCCGTCGGGCTTCGGGCCCCGGAACCCTCTCAGATCGATCGGGCTCGAGAAATGGCGCAGAAAGATGAGGTCCAGGGCTTTGGCTGTGGATGTTCTACGATGTTGCGATTCTTCCGCGCCGTCGGATCTCAGGGTAGGGGGGACTCATCGACCCCCACTCGTCCACTCATTGCTTATAGGGGTCTGACAGCCCCAGCCTGCCCAGGAACCTGCGGATTTGCTATCGGGAGCCAATCGCCGATCTATCGGCGATGCATCGCCGATTCCAAGACCGGGCGGCCAAGACGGGATTCGCTTCGAAATCCTGGGCAGAACGCACCCTGGGAGAGGTCCGACCCTGAAGGAGGTGGACGACGACGACGGCGACGACGACGACGACGACGGCGACGGCGACGGCGACGGCGACGGCGGCGGCGGCGGCGACGGCCGCGGCGGCGGCGGCGACGGCGGCGACTACGACGACGACGATGAACGACGACGGCGAAAGGGGGTGATGACTACAGAGATTTTCTCCCAGGCGTCCCACCCTTCACGGGGGTAAGTAGTTGTCGAGCTCCGTCCGTAGAAAACAGTCGTCGGGAATCAGAGGCCCGGCCATTCTCTGCCGACGGCGCCATCCGGCCAAGCTGGCTCCAGAGCAACACTCGGCGCGCAAGGGTTCGCAGCAAATCTAAGACAAACTACGCGAGCGATGACTTCAATCAGAGCGCATGGTAAGGATGAACAACTTTCCGAGATTACCCTTGCAGCCTTCCCTTTCGGCCCATCCTTGGCCACTTTCGCTGGCAGCGCCCCGTTCGGGTACAATTGGCTGCACGTAAGAGTGACCCTTCGCCGGAGTGACCTTTGGTGCGGGTCCCCCAGTGGCCACCCCAGCCCTGGCGTGCGCGCTTGGATTTGGCTCTCACGCGGCCCCCGAAAGCCGCGCACCAAAGGTCCTTCTTGCCTAGGGTTGTCGCCCACGTGCTGGTCGAGGATCTGGGACGGCCAAGACGGGGGTGATGACTGGGGGTCCGAGGATGAAAAGATATCCATACCGGTATCCATACCGCTGCCCTTCCACTTGTTTTCGCCTGTCTGGGTCACCTGTCAGGCCCTCGACGTCACGGCTGGATTGGTCAAGGAATTTTGGTCAGAGCGCACCTTGGCAGAGGTCCAGGGAGTAGCGGTATCGGTACATTCTGGTTTCCCCCAGGACCACGGGGTGTCAATGAATTCAATTGGAGGTCAGCCAGAGCGCTGGATTTTGCAGGATCCTGCAAATCCGGGGCTGCATTGACCGGGCCAGCGCGCAGGATCCAGCGGGATCCCGCAGGATCCTACACGATCATCCTGCAAAGCCTGACTTGCCCAGGTTATCATCGACCCGAGTAAGTGGAAGCCCGAATGCCTACGGGGGACGCAGCTTCCATCGTCGATTGCGAAGGCCTTACGGCCCGTGCCGCCGACCCTGAAGGAGGAGGAGGAGGAGGAGGAGGAGGAGGAGGAGGAAGAGGAGGAGGGAGAGGAGGACGGCGACCGATGGCGGCGGCCAAGAGGGGGATGGATGATGACTAGCAGTTCGCGTCGTGTCGACTGGCGGCGGTCTTGCCCCGAACTTTTCCCAGCCTCCCGCCTCACGAGGCAACGCCATCAGCTTGCAGGGCATAGCGTGTCGCTGGGTCCGCCGCTGGGACAGGCTGAGCAAAAGTTCCCGACCGTCTCCTCCCTCTGTTCTGTCCTCGTTCGCCTTCTCCTCCCTCTGCTGCTGCGCCTCCGCGTCCTGACCGTCGCGCCCATGGGGCATGGCGCTCCAAGCGGTGCAACGCAATGGGGGAGAAACTCTGACGCACGGCATATTCGCGTCGTGTCGATTGGCTGCCGTCCTGCCGCCGGCGTTCAACGTTGAGCGCCGCAGGCGACCCATGAGTCGGTCGAGGTTGAAAGATTTAACGTTTACCCCCGTGGTGTCAGGAGCCGACGCCGAAGGCAACACTACGCGAATCTGCCATAGTCGATGTGTTTGTTTTCGTCGCCTTCGTTTTCTTTTCGTTTTGATCCTCCGGGGGCCGTTTCCGGGCCCCGGGACCGTCAGAAACGGACCCGGGATGAGAACATATTCCCCCCCACGGAAGTCCCCCGGAGGATTTGTCGACACGACCTTCAAACAGTTGCACTACGAGGTGTAGGGTGTAGGAGTGGGCGGATGTCATCGCCGCGGCCATGAGAGCTCCCCAGACTTCATGGCCCCCTCGCCTTCTTTCAGCACGCCCGCTCGCCCCCCCCGTGGGCCGCGCACGTGGCGCGGGCCATGATCTGCGAGCCCCCCTCTCTGACGCCCCTCTCTCGGACGCCCCCGGGGAGGAGCCCGAGCTACAAGAAGCGCTCGAGGAGCCCGAGCTACAAGAAGCGCAGCCCCAGCCCCAAGCGGCGCTCGGGAGAGAACAGCCGAGGGGGGGGGGCCAGCTGAGACAGCTGTCGTTTGCCCTCGGGGGGGGTGCCTCGTCGCCACGGCTGGCCGCAGCTCGGAGAACTGGTTGGTTGGACCCTCGGGAGGGCTTCCGTTGTTTCAACTCGCCCCACGCGCGGGTCGAGGGGGAGCATCGACCAGAGGATGAAGAGGTCAGGATGCCGCTACCCTTCCGCTAGCCCTTCTCTGGCGTCGCCTCGGACTTTCAGTCAGAACGCACCCTTGGGAGAGCTCTGGGAAGTTGCGGCATCGCTGGTGTTCGTCCCCCCGAGGCTGCACAAGCATGAGCTCTCGAAGGTCCGCGCGGGTTTCTCGGATCGGCGCCTCCAGCGCGCGGCGCTCGCCGGGGAGAAGGGTCCAGCATCGACCCCGGAAAATTCGCGCGGGCATTCGAGAGGTCCATGCTGGTCAGAGACCAATATCTGCGGTTGCATCAACCGAGGGGAGATTATCCAGATCTCGGTAATAGTGGTAGTAGTTGGGTTCTAGGTGGCCAAGAGATGACCAGCAGCACCAACATCCACTATCATCTCCGCCCTTGGAGGAAACGACCTGTAGTAGTGTTGGTGCCAGTTTCCAAGCCCCTGAGTCTGTGCCGTCTTCCCCTTGAGACAGTATGCCTCCCCTATGTCGACACAGGTGTGGTGGTCGACACGGTACTGCATGGGCAACTTATTCTTTTCTTGTTTGCATTGCTCCTGGTGCCCCTCGAGCGCTTTGTTTCAAATTTCGTAGTAGAAGGAACCCCCCCAGACCAGCCATGAACAGGCGGCCTTTTGCCCAGACCCCCTTGGAACCCTCCAGGACAGCTCAAGCCAGGCCCCCCCCCCAAATCAGACCCCCCCTTTTATGGTGAAGTCAGGAGTACCTAATCTAGCGGGGAGTTCGAATCAAGTTTGCGCCGCCCTCGAGGCGCCGCAGCGAGAGCCGTCCCAAGAAGGGCCGCAGCCGCAGCAGCCGCAGCCGCAGCCCCAGGCGGCGCCGCAGCGGCAGCCGCTGAGCGCGAGAGGGGGGGCGGGCGGCCGCGAGAGGACGGGAGGCGGCCGCGGCGCGGTGCGTGCCGTAGGCCGTGAGGGGTCCCGAGGTGCCTCGGAGGTTTATTGCGAAGGCCTTACGGCCAGTGCCGCCGACCCTGAACGGCGATGACGACGACGACGACGACAGAGGAGGAAAAGGTACACCCACACCACTACCCTCTCCTCGTCATCGCCTTCGTGGGCCTCCTGGGAGGCCCTCGTCGCCACAGCTGAATTTGCCTCGGGTATTTTTTTGGTCAGAGCGCACCTGGGGAGCGGTCTGGGGAGGAGCGGTATCGGTACCTGTTGGTTTCCCGAAGACCTCCGACGACATGTCGCCGCGCCGCTTGCTCCGACGCGCGGCCTTCACTACGCCTTTCGGGAGGGCGCCTCGGCCCAGGCGCGGTGGCTTTGCCGTGGCTTTGCCGTCGGTGTGCCGTGGGTTCTCCAGACCCCGCCCTGGCCAGGGGGCAAGCGCCACCTCGGGCGCGGTGGGTGGGCTTGCCGTGGGCTTGCCGCGGTGTCGGTTTCGTCTTTCTGGGCGCGCTCAGTACGAGCGGCGCGGCGAGGTGTGGCCTTGTCAGTCCGGGCGTTGTCCTCGATTGCGGCCTTTGGGGCCCATCGTTGGTCACCTGGGCCATCAGACATGGAGCGGGGACGGAAGACTGCTCCGAGGAAGCGGTCCGGACTTCTGGGGCTGCGGGCTGCAGACATCAGAGCGGCGAGTGTCAGGGACGTGAGGCGTGTCGGATGCTGATACGGGAAAGGATTATGGATTCGCCCGTGTCGCTCCGCCGGTTCTGGCCCACCATGCCTCGGCGCGACACGTTGACCACGCCTCGGCGCGACACGCTAACCACCCTACCCGTGGGCTCTGGTCGGAGGGTCAATCAGCGAGTCGATGAGTCGGAGGGGAGGGGGCGGCTGGAGGTGTTCGTTGGCTCTTGGCTCCGCTGGTTCTGGCCCACCACGTCACCAGTCCCCGAGCGTCCACGTCCCGAGTTGTTCGCAGCCTCTCGTTCCGCGGAGCGGAGCCACACGGCTTCAGCTCGCAGGGCATAGCGTGTCGCCGGGGCCGCCGCCGCGACATGCCACTCAAACGTTCCCGACCGTAGAACCCCCACCCTGCCAGCTCGATTAGCGAGTTTCCCCGTTTCGGTTCTCGAGAGGGTCCTGCGGCCGCAGTGCCTGCGGGACTGCATTCGCTGGGTCTGGTCCTGGGCCGTTTCTATTCAATAGTGTTTCGCTAACAGGGGCTCTGTCCACCCCCGAGTGTGTCGCCCCTCTTGTCGGGAAGAACAGAAACAGCATAAGCATACGCTGTCGCGCGGATTGTTCTGGGATTGGCGCTGCGCGCCGCTCCATGGCACGGAGCCCTCCAGGGGCGGCGTTGAAGGCGCCACCCTGGTGTCCCAGCGCCGATCCAAGAAATCCAGGCGGACCTCTGGATATTTCAACCTGGCGGCCTCCCTGGACCTCCTTTCTTGGGCCCCGAGACCGTCAAAAGGCGGCTAGGGGACGCACGGCTAGCTCAGCGGAGGTCCCCAAAGACGTCCAGGACCTGGTTTCCGCATCGGTTTCGTCCGTCGAACCGAACCCTATCCCCATCCCGATCCTCCTCTCGAGCCCCGCCATCTGATCAACAGCCCATATTCCTATCCAGGGGGGGGGCAAATCGGCCAGTGGGGCCCAGGCCACGCCCATGGGGATAGGGGTCGGTCAAGCGAGGCCCACCTCGGGACCCCCCTGCCTCATGGCAGCGGGGGGCGGCGGCGGCGGAGCGGTGCGATACCAGCGATTACGCAAGCCACGGTTCGCAACCGTCGGTGCCCAGGGGGCTCGCGCTGGTGAGCGCGCAGCACGCCGGCGGAGGGGCGGCAGCAGCGAGGAGCGCGCTGCTGCCTGGGGCGACGGGGGCACGGTTGGTCCAGGCCGCGGGTCTGCTCCGCAGGGCCCAGCGCCGCCGCAGTCCCCCCGCCGGCTGCTCGTGGCGAGGCGGGGGAGGCGGGCCGTGGACGCGAAGGGAACGCTGCGAGCCATGCCAGGCCAGCATGCTTGGCGATGGGGGTGAGGGGGGGCGAGCTCGGCCCATCAGCGTACACCCCTTCTTTCCTCTTCTCCTCCTCCGCCAGAGAGAGATGAGAGAGAACAAACAAAAAGAGGGAGAGAGAGAGAGAGAGAGAGAGCGCGTCAACGGAAAAGGCACGACGGTTGCGAATCGTGGGGGTGATTAGGCCACGGGCGCACGACGGGATCGTCTGTGGCCAATGGCGGGGAGTAAAATGACGAGGACGCGCGCTTCACAGAAAAGGCGTGCTGAAGCATCTGCACCCGCGGGCCCGCGGGCGTGCCTCGTAGCCCGGGCTGGGTCGTCCACCTGGAGGGGCATGCCACACCCTGAGGAGACGGCACCCAGGCGTCCCACGTGGGGTCCGAGCAGACGGGGTCGGAGGATCGCGCCGCATCGCCGATGCATCGGCGATGCGGCTCGATGTGAAGCCCGACGTTCTCCACGCGGACGGCGACGACGCATCGCCGGTGCATCTGCGAGGGGGGGCAGGGCGATGGGGGGGGGGGGAGAGGGGGAGAAGGGGGAGGCTGCGTGGGATAAGTGGATAGGTAGGCGAAGCAGAGGAGCGGAAGGGGGAGGTGGAGCAGGAACGACCAGAGTGGGGGGGGGCAAGCGCCTTTGCCGATGGACCCCCGTGTAAGTCAGGCCCCGCGCCCCTTATCCGAAGGCCAGGATTCTTGGGTGGTCAGGAGAAGTAGGAGGAGTAGGAGGAGGAGGAGCGCGGAGGAGTAAGCGGAGGAGGAGGACGAGGAAGAGGTGGAGGTGGAGGGAGCAGGCGGAAGAGGAATGATAAGGAGGTGGAGGAGGAAGGTGGAGGACGAGGAGGAGGAGGAGGAGGAGGAGGAGGCGGAAGGAGGTGTAGGAGGAAGGACCAGGAGGTGGAAGAAGGAGGAGGAGGAGGAGGAGGAAGAGAGGAAGAGAGGAGGACTAGGAAGAGAGGAGAGGAGGAGGTGGGGGGGAGGAAGTACTAGCACCACGCAATTGCGGATAAGAGTGAGGGGGCGGGCGCTGACGACGCGGGCATTGAGCCGGCGGACCGCCGCAGGCGCCAAACTTTTGGCTTGCTCAGTAAGCGTAGTTTGGGTCGCGGGTGGGTCACGGGCTCTCCACCTCCACCTGGAAGGAATTCAAAAAAACAGCCCGCCGCAGGCGCCGAAAAAATTGATTTGTACACTGAACGCGGTTTGGGTCGCAGGTTCTCCACCTGGAACGAATGCGAAAGAAGCCCGCCGCAGGCGCCGAAGTTTTGGCTTGTTCAGTGTACGTAGTTTGGGTCGCGGGTGCGTCGCGGGCTCTCCACCTCCACCTGGAAGGAATTCAAAAACAGCCCATCGCAGGCGCCGAAAATTTCGATTTGTACACTGAACGTGGTTTGGGTCGCGGGTGGGTCGCAGGTTCTCCACCTGGAACGGATGCAAAAGAAGCCCGCCGCAGGCGCCGAAAATTTTGGGTGGGTCGCGGGGTGGGTCGCGGGTGGGTCGCGGTGGGTCGCGGGTGGGTCGCGGGCGCGGTTTGGGTCGTCGGTGGGTCGCAGGTACTCCACCTGGAACGAATGCAATAGACACCCCCCGCAGGCGCCGAACATTCTGGGTGGGTCGCGGGGTGGGTCGCGGGTGGGTCGCGGGTGGGTCGCGGTGTGTCGCGGGTGTGTCGTGGGTGGGTCTCGGGGTGGGTCGCGGGCGGGTCGCGGGGTGGGTCGCGGGTGGGTCGCGGGTGTGTCGCGGGTGGGTCGCGGGTGGGTCGCGGGTGGGTCGCGGGGTGGGTCACGGGTAGGTTCGCGGGTAGGTCGCGGGTGGGTCGCGGGGTTGGTCGCGGGTGGGTCGCGGGGCGGGTCGCGGGTGGGACGACGACAACAATAAACAACAAGCAGCAAACAACAAACAACACACCCCACACAACACCAACAACAACAACACCAACAACAACACCACCAACAACACCAACAGCAACAACAACATCAACATCAACACCAAACAACAAACAACACACAACTAGCAACAAACAACAAACAACATTCAATAAACAACAACAGCAGCAACAACAACAACAACAACAACACCAACCACAACAACAACAACAACATCAACAGTAACAGCAGCAGCAACAACAACAACGAGAATCCGCATCGCGGAATTCCACTTCAGCCACGCACCCAGGGACAGTGAATGACCGTTCGGTTCAGCCCCCAATCTCTGATGATGGCGGGGGGACGAGGAGCAGGAGGCAATTCGGCACGGCCTCGCTCGCTCCTGCTGCTCCACCTCCATCGTTAATTCTCGTCCTCCTGCTCCTGCTCCTGGTCTACCGTCTCCTCCTCCCTCCTTCTCCTCCCTCTCCTTCCTCCTCCTCCTCCTTCTCCTTCGTCTTCCTCGTTCTTCTCCTCTCCCCCCTCCTCCGCCGCCATCGCCCCGGTCTGAATTTGAGAGCGCGTGCGTGCAGCTCTCGTGGCGGCGAGGAGTCGCTCCATCATTTTTCCACAATCCTTGTCCGTCTGCCTCCCTCTCGTCTCCCCTGTCCCCTCTTAACTCCTTACGTGCACTGGATCATCGTGCGTATGCCGCAGGGTGCTTCCGGCTCTCCTGGAGGCCAGCGCGCTACAGACACGTGACACGCCTGCCTCCCTTGCAGGGGCGCCGGCCCGTCCCAACGACGGCACATTCGTTCGTTCGTTATCCTGTGCCTCCTCCTCTTCCCTCCAGAGCCTGAGCAAACCAGAATAGCATCCGTGCCTCTGTTAAGGTTGTTTATGTCCCTCTCCCTCGCTCTCTCTCTCTCTCTCTCTCCCCCTCTCTCTTTCACACTTATAGTGTTTCATTCCCTTTCTGTGCCTCTCTCTCTCTCTTTCTCTCCCCCTCTCTCGCTCTCGCGGAGGAGGTATGAGGAGGGGAGGAACATGAAGCGGAGTAGTATGGGAAGACGTTTGGAATCATAATGAACCAAGTCGAACACACGTTGTTGGTGCAGGCGTAAGAGGACAAGGGGGGAA